TGGAACAGATGAAAATGACTCATTCCTCAGAAGCATTAAAAAATGCAGGGTGAGAAAGCAAAGTGCGTAATCAAAGGCAGTCAGACGCAATGATCTAAAGACTGCTTTGTTACTCTCACCAAATAAAGTATTTCTTCTAGGAAAAGATATAAGCACTTAGAGGAGACCACTTGTAAGGGTAGAGATAAAAGTAGTTACCTTTTCCTCCTAATTACATCATTTGCAAGGCATCTAGATTTAAATCCAAATCAGAATCTAAAATGCACCTTTCCAGCTTTAGCCCATACTGCTCTAGAAACTACAGCATCTAAACTGCTGTCTAGATTTGCACCTCTGCAAGGCTCCTCAGACCTATAAAATCACTGTGGGACAGATGGCACATCTAAAAGGACAAAGAAGAAGCTTTTAGCCATGGTTTGGGAAGCTCTTCATCCAAAAATGGTCCTCTTGTAGCAATAAAAGTAAAAATAATAAATTACATAAAACCCCACAGAAATTATTTCCTTTAACAACATTTGTTACCCAAGTATTCCAGTAGAGCTGAGAAAAATGAGGAATCTTATGAAACAGGTAAATACACTTCTTTTAGTACCTGGAAAATGTAACACCAAAGGAGTAAAGCATAATTTCAAGCGTGTGTCTATGGAAATGCCATGAATTGAACAGGTCTGTGATGCCAGATTTCCACTTCTGCTTTAATCTGAAGAACTTCATATTCACCAGTATGTGACTGTAATTTCCCTAACTTTGAGTAACCCTGAATTTAAAAGCACTGTGTAGATACAAGCCTTCACTTACCACTGAAGAATGTCCTAGAAGGTGGATGCTTCCACAGGACTCCAGTTTTCAGAAACAGGTTCTCATGTATAAGGAAGTTACAGCTAGTCAGCAAACTGCAAATACAACAGACAAGAAGCAGCTGCTCAAGTGCAAATGTTTAATGATGCATTAATTTAAGCAGTTCAATAACAGTGACATCTTATATTCAATCTTATACAAATTCAAATCTTATACAATCTTATATTCAGAGGCTGAATAACAGAGGGAAAAATCTCCTCAATGTATCCTAAAATTTCCACTGAGCATATTCCTTCCTGGCCTGCTTCTTCCCTAAAAAAGGCAAATCAAAACCAAACTGACAATCCAACTGCTCCTACAGATATTTAGTTAATGCTGCATCCGTTTAATCTTTTCTTTTTGTTAGCTAATATTGACATATGTTCCTCTTGAGCTTAATTCTACTGTAACAGTGATACTTGTCTGAGTATTGTATGTGCTCATCTTGGCAATCGCCCTTTTTGGGCTACTAGTTCTGTTGACATTATGTACCCTATCTTGGTCTGTTTGGAGTTCTAAGATGTGATTGTGAATACAACCCGAGTGTTTGTTTAGAAAGAAAGCTGATACCTCATGTCATCTTGTTTTATGCAGTGCCCTGGCTTAAATGTTTAGTAACCTGTTTGGGTTTGTTTTTTAAATAAGTGAATCTAGAACTGATGAGTGTAACTACTCTCTAAATCTGCTTCCAATTTAACATAGACCTATTTTATCCAACAGCATGCAAACATATCCTTTAAGGTCAGTAAATAACTTGTATTTTGCCGGGGAAAACAAAAACGTTTAAAACAAGACTGCTGTGCTTACAAGGTAAGTACACAGCACAAGCATCATTATCTTCTATAACAAGATAGATAACAAGTATTTGCTTCCATCCAAAGATAGTATTTATAATGGGCAAAGTTGAAACCAGCCATGCTGATCAAAACAAACTCTGCTTGCAAATGTGATGGTAAATTTTTAATGATCATTTAGTGCTTGGGATTATTCCATCTCCCCCAGGCTGCTACTCAGGTGTGTCATTCAGGAAGCTCCTACAACAGCAACCATTTTAAGAGACACTTCTGAATTGGGTTCCTGTACCTCTTTCCTCACCACGTTGGTGGGGAGGAGGAGTACATAGGAAATGTATGGATTCCAAGGAGTAATGTCATTTATTAGGCCAACTAGTATAGCTGGAAAAGTAGAAAGACTGCCAGGCACAGAAGCTCTTCTTTAGAGTTTATCTTACCACTCTGTATGCTAGTGACCTGTAAGTGGTTCTGCCACTCCAAAACCACCCAGACTTACAACTGGCCAACACAGGCAAAAGGTTCGACCAGGATTTTTCATATGTTTAATATATAACGTTTCCTTTCTGGTTTCTAATAATCTGAAAAGGATACATCCAATTGTGCAAGAACTATTCATGTTCAAAGTCTTTATAAAAGGACATGCCACCAAGTTCTTGAAGAACACATGGGAACACTGCATCCTGCTGTCAGACAGGATTCCAGGCTCAAGCCAGGGCAGTAGAGGGGCAGTGTTCTCACACCAACAGGCTCAGGCCCTTGGGAAGAACCAGGTCTGGCAGGTCTTTGTGCAACCTGTTCATTCCCAGGATGCAAATGCCACAGCTGAGATGCCTTCATTTGGCCCTCTAACCTTTCATCTGCTCTTGATGAGATACATGCCGAGTACAGAATTACTTCATTAGCTTACAAGCTATTGCATCATTTAGGGCCACTCAATTCAAGGAAGTGGTTATTAAGAACATTTAGAATTAATTTCAGGTGTCTAATGAGTTACACATAGACACCTCTTTACTTAGAAGAAGGGTCTACAAATCGCACATTTCTTGTCTAGAAATCACACAGTGATACTAGCAGACACTTGCTAACAATGTTTTAATGTTAGCCAAGGACAAACAGCTGTAGTTTTAAACTATCTCCATAACATGGTGCCAGTAATATCTCACTCTGCCCTTCAGCTTCATGGTCTCAACTAAACTCATCACATTAACCCAAACGTGTCAGGACAGTCCCTCCCCAAAACGTGGATTCCTGTGACCAGGTGCTAAACATACCACACTGCCACATCATCTACTGGGGTATTATTTCCTTAACAAGGCAGAAAAAGCAGCCCACACTTCTGCAGAACCTGTATATTTTACATAGCAACAGAAGGTAATTTTAGATGAACACAGAGGTCAGCTGATCTGCTTGGGTCATGCACCAGACCTACACGAATTTGTGGTATTACAAGGCCTGCCTTACAACATATTAAAACACCTGGGATAAAAAGAGTTCTTGCCCATGATAAGCTGGGAGCCTGTGGGCTATTTCTAAGGGATTAAAGAAACTAAGAACTAATCCAGTCTGCACTGGACTTAAATTTACCAGAAAAATCTTAAAACCCTAAAAAGTCTGGGAAAAACCCCAAACAACTTAGCTGCAGCCTAAAGCACCAGTATTCTCAACACATATATTAGCTTGATATACAATAACCTAAAAAGATAAATGCACATCCAGAACAAAACTAGCTGCACTGGCTCCACAGGAGCACCAGGAGCTGCGTGGTTGCCAAGGCAGGGCAGGGCATACCAGGTACTTCGGCACACAGATCATCCCAGAGGAAGAACACAACTAACCGCAGGCCCTAAGCTCTTACTAAAACTGGTTTTGGTGCCTAATATGAGAAAACCACTCTCCTCCTTACTCTAAAATCTAAAAATAGGTAAAGATGACAAGACTGAGTAGTTTGTTGCCCTCCTCACCTTCCCTGCTCCTGACAGCCTGATCTTGATGGGTACAAGGGTGCAAGAGAGCACTGCCTTCCTGACCCCACCACCCAACCGGAGGGTGCTGGAGCAGGAACTGTGGGGTCCATGTTAACTTCAGCCCCTCGGTGGGCCACCACCACCCTGATGCCAGACAGCAACATGCTCTGCACATGAGGTGTCTTCCCCAGGTTTTGAGAGAGAAGGTGGAGTAGGGGGACCGTGTGTTCTAAGAGCAAACTAATATCCTAGAAACAGTACTCTTAAAACCTACCCGTTGCTATGAAAAGCATAAGCTTAAAAAGCACATCCGCAGAGGGCAGTGGGTTACCTGGGAGACGCGTCTCCTCACAGACCGTATCCCCGTGATTACATAACCTTGGGGGCAGCAGCTGCCCCTTCTGCCCACTTCCATACACGCACACAGGCAACTACTGACTATGAGAACGTGCTAAGTTCCATACTTTTTATCTCATAAAATAAATTGAAATCTGTTCATCTTTCCTTCCACCTCGGACACCAAGCACAAGCTTCCCCGCACCTGCCCGTGGCCGAGGCACCAGACACAACCGCGTCTTCGCCCCAGCACGGAAGCGTCAGCGACCAGAGCAGTCAGGGCGGAGGGGGCGGCTGCAGCCCCCCGGGCGGGGTGGGGCCGGGCTACAGCACAGCTCCTCCTCACGCCCCCCCCACCCCGGGTGCCGGCTGTCAGACGACCGCTACCGCTTCCCCCGAGCTCTGCCGGGCCTCGACATCCCCAGCCCCCTAGCCACCGGGCAGCGCCGTGCTGTGCTATGCCGTGCCGTGCCGTGCCGTGCCGCCTGCCGTGCCCGTACCTGCTCCGCCGCAGAGCGCCCACACCGGCCCGCGCCATGGCCGCCGCCATCTTGCCGCGCCGCCGCCGTGCCCTCTGCTGCGTCCTGCGCGTGAGGGCGGGAGACAGTCGAGGGGCGGAGCCAGGCGGTGGCGGGGAGGGAGGGAAGGAGGGAGGGGCGGGGCCAGTGCGGCTGAGGGGAGAGTGGGGCGGGGCGGGGCGGGTGCGGTGTGAGGGGATGGTGGTGAGGGGATGGTGGTGTGAGGGGTGTGAGGAGAGGCCGTTACCTGAGGGCAATATGTGTGTAGGGACGGGACCATTCCTCAGGACAGATACGGAATGGGGACACGGGTACGAGGCTGTACTCGAGGCTGGTGAGGGTTCTCTGGGGGACAGGGCCGGCCCTGAGAAGGCTGAGAGCCACTGAGGGGTATAGTTTGGGGTTAGGGTGATCCCTGAGGATCTGTGGTGTGGGCACAAGGCTGCTCCACAAAGGTGGTGTGTATGGTATCAGGATAAAGCTGCTGCCCGAAGGGAGGTATGGTTAGAGGAGAGGACTGCTTCTTGGGGAGCTTAGGATGAATCAGTTGGGGTTCAGCATTGCTGTTAAGGGGCAAGTAAGTCCTTGACCACAGATGTGGGAGCAAGAAGGATGTCAGGGCAGAAATTATGTGGATGGGTGGCACACTTGACACAGGACAAACACAGTGCTGTTCCTGCAAGTCAGATGTCCCACAGGGTAGTGCAGTAACATCTGTTCCTACTCTGGTGTCCCTTACCTGGATCCTGGTAGCACAGGGGGGAATTCATAGAGATTATCTGGTTTCCACCCTCTCAGATGCATCCCCTAGATACATGCATGAATGCTGCATTGCTGGGAAGAGGCTGATTACCATTTTCTGATGCTGCTATCACCCTATGGGGGTAGTTTCAAAGGTTGAATCAGTAGGAAAAGAATTCCAGAGTCCTGCTGCTGTGTTTCCACATCCTCAGCGCTTCAGGACATGATCCTCTCAGCAGACCTGATTAGGTTTGTGATTAATGCCTGTTTGTTTTCCTGATGGGCCTAAATGAAGTCTACAACACCTTCGTGTCATTCTGGCTTTAACATCACCACAGACAGCAGCACAGCAACTGTGTAAGTACCTTAAACATATACAGGAAACCTTTTGGTTTTAAATTTGTAACATCTGAGCAGAGATCCAGATGCAGCCCTCATGCAATAGTAGTATTAGCTAGCTGAGTTGTTGGGAGGCACATATACCGTGTACATAATGGTAGGATTGGCAGGAAGTAAAACCACAAAGAAGGTGGGATTTGATCCTGTTAGGTGCTTTGCTACAAGCATTGCAAGAATCATTAGCTTTGATGTCTAACTGCACCCTGCTAGTGGGCCTGACGGACAAGTTTCCCCAGAAGTGATTCAGAAATGATTCAGAGGTTAAGGTGTAGTTAAATGAAACATATTTGTTTATAGTGATTAATGGTCTGTCCCAATCTCATCTTTTTCCCTAGAATTAAAAGTAAATATGTGGACCTTTAACTATTTTTAAATTACTTTTATAATGTGTTTTGTTCTTACATTTGTTGTACTGTTTTTAACATCTGAGAGTGTGAAAAATTATATAGACTGTGCTTACTGAGGAATAAAACATACTTCCCAAAGAGTACGGAGCTGTGCTGGGCCCGTGCAGGTGAGCCAAGTCAAAGATTGGACAAATACCACAGCTGTTCTCTTAGCAAACGAGAGAATAGAGGTTTTGGGACTTGAGAACATTTGTTCAGGGAGTGAAGGAAGGAATGAGAAATGTAATTCCTGTGATTGGATTAGTGGGAAACGTAACACCTCAACAAATGTTGCAGATCCAGCAAGGGAATTTATGAAATGCAGAGATAAGCAATGGAATCCATGTACCTGAATGCGGAAGAAGCAAGTGGGGAGTAAGGACTCTGAATCACTAGGGGAAAAGTGCATAAAGCAACAAAAGAAATCTGGGAAAACTCTTGGCAAAAATACACGAAGCAGAGAAAGTACTAAGAAAATCTACAGAATGAAGGAAAACAAAATCTGGCAAAAGACTCTTTCTGCAGGACTCTTGGAATAGTGAATTATTTCTTGAATGGAGAGATGAAGCCACATTAGCAATATTTTATGCATCATATATCTATATATATTTTTTGTGTTTCTTTTTCCCTGCTGTGGAATTAATGATGTTAATCATGGCTGCTGTAGTTAAGAAGTAATACCCCAGGTTAAGTGTTAGAAAACAGGGAAATAAGCCTGTTTGGATGAGACTGCTGTGCTAAAATGGAATGAGGAAAGTTGAAAGTCAGCAGTGGCACAGTGCTGTTCTGAATTCTTAGGGAGGCAAAGGACTACTTTTTGTTTAAAATAACTCAGATAAACCGTTATCAGGTGAAAAGGTAAGAAGGACCTTTCAGTGTTCTGTAGAGTGATATGTTCAGTAGTTTGGACAATTCACTCAGCTTTAGAAATCTTTTTCTGTAAGATAGATGTCTTACCTATCTCCCAAAGGCATTTTAGTGAGTTTTGAAAGAGGAGGATCACAGTTTAGTTCAAAAGCAGAGGCTTACATTTCTTCCTGTGCCTGTTTATAACAAAGCAGAAAATGCATGGTTATTTTCTATCTGTGAATAGGAACAGGACATTGTCTCTTTCTCTTTTGCATACAAGGATATGCCACCCTCTGGCTTTTTTTCTTAAATCGTAGTTTATTCTTGTTGATGCCTAAAACCCCTTTGCTATCTTCCAGAAGCTTTGGTCATCACTGTGGAATTCCTGGTATGAGGAGACAGAGCTCAGGGTAGAGAGAGGATCCTTGCTGAACTTCTGTAATCATGAAGACAGTGATTTTGATTGTCTTAATCATCTTCACTTTGCTGTCTTCAGGTAAGACTGATGCAGAGGGGGAAAATGAAACCTCTGGATGGGTTACCAGGAAGCAGACTCTAATATTTGCTTTGATTTTCTTCTGTGCTAAGAAGTTGCAGCTAGAACTGTGCCTGTGATTTCCATTTGCCTGTATTTTTCCTGTTTGATCATTGGCAGATGGTGACCCAGTTAGTTTTGAAGCAGCTTGATACACTAGTTTCTTAGTAATTCAGTGAAGGTTTGTTTCCTTTGAATAGCTGAGATCTGCGTACTTATTAATGCTGTCAAATTGAATCAGTGCATTTCAAGCTTCTCCCCTCTAAAACCACAATGGGTTCTTTTTGCAGTAGTGCTGAATTAATGTCAAAGCAAGTGGAGTACTAATGTCTGATGCTATGCTCAAAGAAATAAAAACGTCCATGTTTTAATTGTAAGAATTATTTATTCCAGGAAATATTTTTGTTTAATATTAATAGATTGACAGGGATCCAAACCCTTAAACATCTGGAAATGGCAATGTTAGAGATGTTGTAGTGTTTTCTATGCATTTGGTCGTATCTGTCACTACATAGTATAAATGTCTCTCAAGTTACATAACTGCATGCTATTTTAATATATAATAATCACTTTTTTCCTTAAATGTATAGCATCTCCTTGAGATGTTATGATGATACATTTCAGAGTAGGCATTTAACAGGAAAAATACAAAATAAGTCATACTACATCCAATATAGCATAATCAGTGCCTAAAGCAAAGGAGGAAATTTTGTTGACATGCCTGGACTCCCTGAAGATGTAGCTTTATAGTCAGTTTAAACCTACCAAACCCCCAGTTCCTCCTGGAAAAGGAGGTTTCAGCATCTCCTCCACTTCTAATTGTATCTTCCTTCTGCTGGCACCATTTTTTTTTCATTGGTTACTTAGTATTCAGCTGGAAAAAGATCTGACAACTGAATAGTGCAGTTCTGCTGCAGTTCTGCAGTGTTCTTGTGCATCTCTTTGGCATCCAGAAATGATAATTCTCACTAACTTCCTCTTTGGAAGAGGTGAGATTTTGAGGATTTTGTTGTTCGTGTTTACCCAGTTCTCCGTTCAACACAGTACATGGTTCTTCACTGTCAATAACCAAATTGTCCCTAATTTGTGTCTTTCATAGTGGGTGTTGTCATGGACGATAAACCTCTCTGTCTTGAGGGGAATCCAGCAAATTTCTTGTCATTGATGAGGAAACACTTAGATAATACATTGTGTAACAGCAGAAGTTCCAGTCACAGAACTGCCATCGTAATTTTAAATAACCCCAGATCTTCACCTCCTGCTTGAGGGGTTTGATTTACTCTATTATAAAGCAGCACCCAATTGAGAATTGCTTTCAGCTTAAAATTTTTGTACTTCTCCTTTGGTCTAAGGTTTTCTGCCCCTGGAGCTCTGATGTGGATCTTGCTGTTTAAAATCAGGTAGTATTTGTCTGGAAAGAAAATGGGAAGGAAATGCTTAACAAAGCATAGCCCTCAGTGGGAAATGCTGTTCTAACAAAGTTCAAACTATGTAGCTCAGTGCTACGAGACACCTGGGACTTGGAACATCAGATACTGTCTGGTGAAAAAACAACAGTCCCCTCTCTGAAGACTACATTCAACAACGCTAAGGCAGCTTGATTCCCTATCAACATCCTCCCTACATATTTCTTGTTCTTTTGGAGGCTTAGTTCTGAATCTCTAGAACTTTGTAACAGAAATACTAAGATTGGTATGGATAAATTATGCATGGGAATATGTGTGTGTGAAAGCACCAGAGGAAACAGCAGAGCAAAGGTTAAAAGAATGGCGTGTATTGATAACCAAGAACACAGTGCTTATAAACAGGGAATGCATAGTTTTCATCAAGATTAGAAGGTCTCTGCTCTGATAAAGTCAAGCCACAGTTGACTTGTCAGGAGAAAAACTGCAGTCTGATAACACAAAGATGGTAACAAGGTTACCCTGCATCATAAGTGTCCTTTCTCTTCTTGCCATCCCGATGGGAAAACAGACCATAGCCTTAAAGATGTCCTTGTCTTTGTTTCCTCCTTTTGGATGGCAACCTTGCCTAAAATTCATGGAGCACGAAGCAAGGAAGATTCTGAGGTTAAAGATCATGCCATAATAATTGTTGATTCTTGAAAAATCTACCTGAAAATTAGTTTGTTGCTGACAACAAAGTGACATAGTAAAGATTCAACAGCAAACATTCATTGTCCTCCATGTTGGGCAAAAGTGATCTTGATTACACTGCTTAGGTATCTTTCTTGGGTGCCTGTATGTGGAAATGTGAGTGAGCAGAATCAACTTACTTGTGAAATTAGGTAAAATAAAATAACCTCCCTGTTCCATAAGGTCTTAAACTTAGTGGGTTTGGGTGTTTTTTTTTTAATTTATTTTTTTCCTACTAAATCCTGTAAATCTTGACTCATTTTTTGATCTTACAGGGAAGAAATTCCGATGGTGCACCCTTTCTGACCTAGAGCAGAGGAAGTGTGCTGAACTGTCTAAAGCACTCATGGCTGTGGTGCCCCTTGCTGCTGCCAATTCATTTGCCAGGATTTCTTGCATCAGAGCCCACAACACATATGACTGCATTGATAAAATCAGGGTGAGTTCAGAGAGATTTTTAAAACTGATTTTAGGTCCAAATCCTCTTTTGAAGAAGTAACCCATGGGGGAATAAAATGATACTGAAATGATGGTATTGCATATATGACAAAGTACTCAGAAGTAGCTTGAGAGGCAAGAATTAAAACCCATGAGTATTCTACTAGATGTACTCTTTACCCCGGCTCACGCCCTTGCAATCACCAGGAAATATGTAAAATGCTGCTTGGACATAGATGGACAAAATGAAACTACTAAATTAAAACTTGCTGAGAGCATTATCCTTGCTTGTAGCTTTTGGTCCTACTGTAACTATAATGAATATTTTTCTCTTCTCTTTCTTCCCTGCTATTTTTAGCACCTCATCAGTCTTTTCTAAAGTAAAGAGCAAAGCCATTTTTGTATAAAGTTCTTTAATTTGAATCAAATTATACATTAATTTGAATCAAATTAGACATTAATTTGAATCAAATTAGACATTAAATTTGAATCCAATTAGGAATTAATTTGAATCCAATTAGGAATTAATTGGAATCAAATTAGGTAGGAGGACTCTGAGAAGTATTTGGGGTCTTGGGGGAGCAGTAGAAGGAAACAGGGGTTACCTTTTTCTTCAATTGGCATCAGAATTGTGGTTTTGAATTGGAAAACTCAGAGGTGAGAAAGGATGTTACTGGAAGTGAACTAGAATTGTTTTAAAGCAACAGCCTTCACTGTTAGCATTTCACCATGCTTAGTGGCATGGATTCAATTAAAAACCAAGCAAATACTTGGAAAAATCTCTGGTTACTACTTCTCAGGCAGAAAATCTGCTCTTGGAGCTGCTGTTTGTATCTCTGTATGCACAGAGGTATTATTTTGAGTGTTTTGCTGGTTTTTTTAAGGTGAATAAAGCAGATGCTGCCTCCTTGGATGCTGGAGATGTTTACTCTGCTGTAAAGCTCTATGGTTTGACAGTTGTGGCAAAGGAAATTTATGACCAAGGTAGGTTCATAAAGCTAAAGAATAAGTTGTATTTGGCTAACAAATTGCTGTAAGTGAAAAGCTAAGTTCAAGAATTCGTGAAAAAAAGTCTATATATTTCATTAACTTTATAGGAGTATGGAGGTGACTAACAACTGTTGCTAAAATACTTAGTGATGGTTAGTAAAATATCAGTGGTACTTTCTATACAGTAGCCTTTCTGCCTAGGTAGGCTACTATCTAGGTACTGGTATTGTCACAGATTGTATCTACCTCTGCTTGCAGCACTAGTGTATACCCAAGCTCTACATCTTGCAAGGAATAAGAAAGCCTTTGTCCATCTCTGTCAGTTCTTATACCATGCTCTAAAGTAGTTTAACCAAGCATTTACTAATTTTCTTTAAGAGATTAGCTTTTCTCACTATTTAATTCTCTCCACACCCTAAAGAGACAAAAATATAAGGTGGAAAATCTTGTTATGGTAAGATTCCTCTTCATTCCTGGCAGACCTTAACAGTGTCTGCAATGATTTGTAAGGCAGAAATAAGTAACTTGGAGCCAAAATCAAACATGGAGTAGAAAATACTTCTAAGACATGAATCTGAGAAGGAAGCCACATTAGGAAGAGACTAATAAGGGGACACTATGAGAACAGAAGTGAATTTTGTTTTGTCTGAATAATTGTGAGATCATAGTGGAATTGATATGTGCTGAGGATAAGACATAGGAGTTCTTTCCATTACCATATGTAAACAGTGTGATGCAAGTGTTCAAAAGCGTTGAGAAGCAATTGCATAGGATGATGGAGTGGGATCATCTTGTAAGCCTTTTACACCAGGTTTTTACGTTCTTTGCACATCACTTGCATTGCTCAGTTTGACAAAGTGCCGTGTAGCCAGTAGGTGATAAATTTCTTGGCATGAGTACCTATGTTTCATATACCTGAGGCTGGTTTTTTTCCTTAGCCAAGTTCACAGAAGGAGTGGAAGTCCAGTACACAGATGGAAGCTGCAGAACTGGGATTTACTTATTTCTGTTGCATATTTTGTTTTATTCCAGGAAATTGCGTGTTTGCTGTGGCCATTGCCAAACGAGGAACTCTGGACATCCGGAGGCTACGAGGTGTGCGCAGCTGCCACAATGGAGCCAGGTGGACATCCGGCTGGAATATTCCACTTGGCTTTCTTCTTGCAAGCAACGATCTTTCCTGGGATGAGGCACAACCTCTGAGTCAAGGTGGGTGGTAGGAGCCATAGGGTTATGTCTCTGCTCTCAGAAAAAGCAAGTGAGTTGCAAGCAGATGTGGAATGAACTCAACTATGTGGAAATTGCTGGGCTTTGTGGGTGAGGTATCCTATTGGAGTGTTTTTGATACTGGCTCTTAGTTCTCTTCAGAACTTTTCTAGTGATCTCAAAGCAGCAGAATTGTTACCAAACCGGGAAATCTTTGCATTCTGTATGCAACAGGGAACAAACCTTTCCAATATCCAACCAGTACAAAGATGGTTTTAAACAAGAAAAAGCTGATCGCATTTTCCAGTAAATGTTTCAAATTTGAAGTTCAGACAATGAAGCTGTATTTGCTGATTTATTTATTTAGTTTATTTATTAATTCACTGTAGTCCTAGTTATGTCCATGATATGTTTGGCTGCTTTTCCTTCTTCTGTTTTTCCTGTTTGACTTTTTTTCATCTCCCCTCCCCGACATCTGCAGTAGTCAGTGAATATTTCAATGCAAGTTGCATCCCTGGGGTTGGTGTTGCTGCTCCTCAACTGTGTGCTCTCTGCCAAGGACAAAAATCCTATATCAGAGACAAGAACCACTTCTGTGAGACGAGCGGTAATGAACCATTTTATGACTCTGAAGGAGCCTTCAGGTGAGCTCTGTGACACTGGTCCTGAATTTACCTTTAAGGCAAAAGAATCTGTGAGGGAGGAAAAAACAGATGGCATATTGATAGGGTGGCATTTTTCTCCCTGCAGGTGTTTGAAGAATGGAGTGGCAGATGTTGCCTTTTTAGATCATCTAACAATTATGAGTGCTACAGGTAATCTTAAAAATTCAGATTCATTTTAACTTCTGACTGTAGTCTTTCCTGAGTTGGGGGAATAAGCCTGAATTTCCTGAGTGGGGAATATGCCTGGATTTTTGTTGTTTCCAGGGAAAATTCAATCCCTACAACCAGTTCAGTGTGTTTCTTGGCTCTCCACTTAAGTCAGAAGGAAACAGAAGAGGGAAGAGTAAGTGAGCAGTAATTGCTCACAAGAGTTTCTCAGGGTGGGAGCAGACAGATGCTTTTATACAGGTGGTTTTCTTAGCCTGAAGTGTCTGACACAGCTGTCAGTATTTGCATTACCTGAGTTATAAGATTCCTTTTAAAATTCAGTGTATTTTGTTGTTGGAATGTACTGTTCCTGTTTACCTTGTTTGTATTTTAAATGTGGTCGAGGTCTGTACTGACATTTTTGAAGGTAGCTTTAGTATTTGCAGGTAAGGATTTTTAAACAAATGTATGTACAGGGGTACAGCTAAAGAGTAATTCTGAATATCTTTGGCTGAGGTCCCTCTCTTTCTTAAGAGAAGACCATATCAGACAGCCTTCCCAAGCTGTGTGCTGCCTACATAGCCTTTGAGCAACCTCCTCTGAAAAATGTTCTGCCTTCCATCTCTGTGCCTGCTGCCAAGTCACATCTCATTTCATAGATTCATGAGTGTTCTCTTGTTTCAGAGTCAGAGCAACAAGAATATGAACTCCTATGCCCTGATGGGACTACAGCTGAGCTGACTGAGTACAGCACTTGTAACTTGGGCAAGGGGCCTGGACGTGGCATCATCACCCGCCACAACTTCCAGAAGATCACCCATAAATTTCTCACCATGATCCAAGTGAGTGGATATTATGAGCTGTGTATCTCCAGAGACAGGTTTTTCTTCCATCTTTGTGTAGAGGCAGTTTGCCTTTTCTTCTTCAGAAATGTGTAGTTAGTGTGAACGAAACACTAAAAATCAATTGTTCTGGGGAGGGATCCTGCACTGGCTTCTGGCAGAAGGTTTTACTTTTCTCTAAAATGTTCTCTAGAAGGTTGGGAATAAAAAAGTAAAGTAAGGATGCTATAACACCCAAAGTGAAAAATGGGTAATTATGTTCATCCTGCCCTGCAACTTGAGTAAATTCTTATATAGCTGCATAGGTTCAGGCAGGGTTCATCTTTATTCCTCTCTTTTTTCTCAGCTTATAAATAGTATCTGTTACCTTGGCATCCAGAAATCTGATGCTGAACCTGAAATGCATATTTAAATGCAAATTTAAAGAATTTATGGAGCCATCTGGCCCTCGAAATAGTCCAGTAGTGTCCTGGTTTTGACTGGGATGGAGTTAATTTTCTTCTTAATAGCTGGTCCAATGCTGTGCTTTGACTTTAGTATGCGAATAATGTTGATAACACAGTGATGTTTTAGCTGTTGCTGAGCAGTGCTTACTCTAAATCAATGACTTTTCAGTTTCCCATGCTCTGTCAGTGAGCAGATGCAACAAGAAGCTGGGAGGGAGCACAGCCAGAACAGCAGATCCAAGCTAGCCAAAGGTGTATTCCACACCAAAGAACATCACATTCGGTATATAAATTAGGGGGAACTGGCCAGGAGCCACAGATCACTGCTTGGGGATGGGCTGGGAATCAGTCAGCAGTTGGTGAGCAGTTGTGTTGTGTATCATTTGTCTTTCTTGGGTTTTATTCCTCTCTCTTTATTTCTTTTTATTCCTTATTTCGATTATTAAACTGTTCTTATCTCATCTCATGGGTTTTACGTTTTTCCGATTTGTATTCCCCATCCCACTGGGGGAAAATGAGTGAGTGGCTGTGTGGTACTTTGTTGCCAGCTGGGGTTAAATCGTGACAAATAAACAGTGAATAATGTAACCCAGTGTGCTTTTTCTCTGAGTGCTATGTTACAAACCATTGCTGTGAAGGGACCAAAGGATGGGGCTGACTGTTACTAAAAGGATGAGCAGATTTGTTGCAATTAAGTGTTATTCTTGTTCTAGCGCCTCTTTGGGCGAAAAGGAAAGGAAAGAGCCAGGTTTGAACTCTTCACTTCAGCACCCTTTGGGGGAAAGAACCTGCTGTTCCAGGATGCCACTCAGCACCTACAGCTTCTTGAGGAGCAGCTGGAGATTGCCTATGTCCTTGGTCTGGACTATGTATCTCTCCTTAAGGGACTAGGACATGAAGGTGAGAAGTCTTCCAGAGATCCGTAGTTAAGGAAAGGGAAGAAAAAGTTCACCTTCCAAGTTACTCCTCCCTTCCAGGCACAAGTGCATAGGCCTAAATGTCCCCTTAACATAGGTGCACAGGTGACATGGTATCACTGTGCTCCTTTCTTCTAATTCAGGCAGCTTTTTGGACAACAGCATTGTGCGCTGGTGCTGCATCAGTGATGCTGAGCTTCACAAATGTGAGGAGTGGGCACTGAGCATCAAATCTGACCCATTGGTCTGTGTCCAAGCAACTTCCACGACCAAATGCATTGAAATGATCAAGGTAGGAGACTCCCTCTAGTCAGAGTATATGATAAGGCTGCAGAGACTGCATGTGTCCTTGCATGAGCTGAACAAGAGGAAAACCAGCTTGCACTGTAGAGGAGCTAGTGGGAATGAGAGAGAATTTCCAGCCAGTGGGGAAGTCCAGCTGCTTGGTTACACAATTCCTGCAAATCCTGTTTTTGTTATTTTCTATAATGCTGTTGGCAGAGTAGTGAGGCTGATGCAGTCACTCTGGATGCAACACATGTCTACATTGCAGGAAAGTGTGGATTGGTGCCTGTAGCTGCAGAATGTTATGGTAAGTTCTCATGTGACCTTAGCAGAAATGGAGGGAATAAAAAAAAATACCATTAAAAATATAGTTACATTTGTACAGTTTGTGATGGAAGCAGGAATTAATATATATGTTCAAATACTTTTCCCAGCTCTTTCACTAACTTGCTCTGGCATTTGATATCCTGTTTGTTTACTGTGTCTCTTCTGTAAAATGGACAGAGATGCTGATATGGCTCAAGACAATTGCAAGTTTTTGATGGGTTGCTACTGATTAACAGGAATGACAGCAGTCCCAATATCCTTAGTGGTTGTCTCTCCTCTCCAGGGGGAGATTGTGCCCAGACTGCTGAGAGCATGGGGGAAATGAGGAAGCTAATTCATCTGGAGCGCAAAGGTAAAAGGACAAATTTGAGAAGGCAAATGGTTTAGATTTTCCTGATTGCCTCTAGGATTTACATAGGAAAGTATTCACATGTTGGTTTGGGAAAGAATTTGCTGTGCTTGATAGGAGCTTTGCAGGAAATGCCAGGCAGCTAGGACAAGAGCTTTGTCGTTAAGCAAAGAATGCACATCCAGTACCTTAACTGAAGATATGTGACAGCATGAGAGGGGGAAGAGGGGGGCTGTACGTGTCTGGAATACTTAATTGCCTTGATATAACTGGTTGTTGTCATTATTTTACAGCACTGCCACCTGTTTATGCTGTTGCACTAGCTAAGAAAAATGCCAAACAGATTAACATCCATAATCTTAGGGGAAGGCGATCCTGCCACAGCCACCTATATAGTCCTGGAGGATGGTTACTTCTTTCCAGATATGCATTAGGAGCTCTGGAGAATGACACTGGGAGCTGTGATATTGGCTCTGGTAAGGGCTGCTCTTGGTTATTTGTTGACTAGATCATGGGAACCTGAAGTCCAAGATCTGGGAGTAAAATGGAGACAGGGACATGAGGATTTGACCAGCAAGTGATGATTGCAGAGTCAGAAGGTATTGAAGCAGCTCTTCCTCTTATCTGACTACATGTGATGCTTTAGCTGCCTTCTTGCTAGCTGTAGGGATGGAATTCCATTCCTGTCTTTTCTTGTGCTTGAAGAGGCTTTGGAAACGCCTTGCCTTAATCTCACCTCAATTTTCTTAACTCAGTTTACCAGAACTACTTTTGGAAGGGCTGCATGCCAGGAGCAGATGGAAACCTGTGCAAGGTGTGCATTGGAGATGGTGAGGTTGAAGGGGCTCGAGTATCTAGCAGATGTGCTGCAAGTCACAACGAACGTTACTATGGCAATATGGGAGCACTCAGGTAAGCTTTTTGTCAGTCAGAAGTGCAGAGCAATAGCCAGAACTGGCTTATTATTTTGCTGATGGTTTTCTTTGGAGCCTTTTTTGTTAACCAGCTAGTTGTATAAACTTTTGCTAGCATGTATTTTACTTTGATTGCAGTTGCTATGGGATGTTCATCTGAATGGTAATTTAAAGCAGTCATGAAAACACCTTAAGAGCAAGACAGTGCTTCCAAACATGTAAGGCTCAGAGTATTGGTACTGACTTGTTAAAGAAAATGGATGAATGATAGAAGGTCAGAGAGCAGAGGTGATCTGGTAAGAAGCAATGGAAGGTACAGAAGGTAATTAAATAAATGGGAGATAACAAAATAGCTGAAAACAGGCCAAGAAGAATATTAAAGGTGAAAGCACTCTTATAAAACATATGTAATGCATTTAGTTGAATTACATTCTCTTTCCTGACTAGGTGCAGGTGATGCTGCATAGACATTTTGCCACGTCTTTGACTTGGGAGTTTCTTTAAGGGATGGAAGGGATTGTCTTAGCAAACATGTGAATACTGTCCACTAAGATCTATAATGATATCACTAACTTGTTCCATATAACAACCAAGTAATTACAGATGAGAGGGATGCTCCAGCTACTCATGGTTTAGCTTCAGAAGACTGTCCAAATGTCAGCCATAGTGTAGTGGCTGTCTCCAATAACTTCTTGGGTTTTTTTCCTCACTAGGTGCCTAGTCGGCAATCCCAGTGGAAGAAGCTTCGGAGATGTAGCTTTCCTGGAACATTCTAACCTCCTCCAGAACATAAAGAGTGAGATGCAGATGTTCTCTTTTCCTTGAGAATGTTCATTAGTGCCAGTTACTTCCCACATACTCAACCATCACTCATGAGGATCAGCTTATATAGATTTAATCTAGGTCCACGAAGTTGTGTTTGTGACTGGAAAATTGAAGAACATTCCTGCATGTAGGTCTTCTAGTAAAGCTCAAAATTTAGATAGCTTTCACTTTTGGAGAGGAAAGAGGAAGAACCATTGAGTGCAAAGAGCAATGTGTGGTGGTGGGGTAATATCCTTGGGGACTGCACTAATTTTTTTAAAGCTCAAAGCTTTAAAAAGCAAACATTTTTTTCTCACCAGATCTTGGGACCAATCTCTCAATTTTAAACATTTTGCATGAGATTCACCCTATCTTCTACTTTCATTTTTAAAAAGGATTTACTTTCATTTCATCTTCTTTTCAGATCTGGATATTTCTGGTTGGGCAAAGGGCTATACCCCTATTGACTTTGAACTCTTGTGTCCAGATGGAACGCGTGCTGCAGTCACAGAATGGGCAGGCTGTAACCTTGGCCCCATTCCCCCCAGCACAGTCATGACTCGACCGGTCACTGTCACTAAAATCTATGACTTTCTAATGAAATCCCAGGTGAGACAGGTAACTGGGAAAAAGTTAGCATGTTATCACTTGTTATGTACAACTGCTGAAAACCCTTTCAAGATCAAATGCTTTTATATCCTAAATTCATGAAGTGTCTTCAGATTCAATATGAATTAAGAATGTATGTAAGAGATTGAGAGAATAATTATGTGGATTCTCTAAAGGGGCACTTCGGCAGCAGTTGCCATTCCCCAGTGGTTATACTTTTGCTGAGAAATAGGGTGCAGCAAAACTGCGTCTTTTTGTACACCAGCTGAACCTTGCTATTTGTGATCCAAGCTGTGGAACTTATTTCTTTTCTCTTTAGGAATCTCTGGGAAGCAAATTGAATTCTGAATTCCAACTCTTTCAATCATGGAAGTATGGTGAAAGTGATCTGCTTTTCAAAGACACTACTCAGTACCTCATTCATGCCAGTCACATGAGCTATCAGGAAATTCTTGGAGTGCCTTTCTTTCAGCTGGCAGAATCAGTGTTTAACTGTACACCTGCAGGTAAAATCAAGTTCTTAGTTTTGAGTTAGAGACAAATGCAAAGCAGGAAGTCTTCTGTGCATAGCTATTGTCCTTTTGGTTAGACCAAATGGAGAAGTATGTTCTACATAATCTTGTTAGTAACAATTTTCCAAGGAGTACTGTGTTTGGAGCTTCTTTAGAGCCTCTTACAACTCCTGTCCAAAAGCACTAAAACTGGAGCTCTGAAAGAACAGAGTAACTAATATATATTGAAGATGAGGTTACTGAAATAGGACTGGTTTATTCCCACTCTGAAATTTTTCCCTTCAGTTGCAAAGATCAGTTCTGGGAAAAGGGAATACAGTGTTCATTTGGATATGCTAAACTTGGGGAAAAGATAAGAAATTTTATATTCAATTCTTGAATTAATCTCAAAATAACTGAATTGCCTTTTTTAAAAAGCACACTAGAGAATGCAAGATCAAAACCTTTACAAACTTAAGGGATGGCTTTTTCATTATTTTCCACTGAAAGCTGTATAAAACATGCACTTAGCTATCACTAAAACTGTCCATGAGCCAGTATCAAGCTGTTCTGATACCTGAAAATCTGCACTGAAGTAAATGAAGATTATACAGTTAGTGAGACTTCTGTGAGTCTAAGTTAAAAAACTTAAATTCAAAGGGGAATTTTACCTCTGTTCTGCTGATTTAGTGAACATTATTTGAAGAATTTGTTCTTTTTAAAAGCTGCTAGCGTCTTTAAGTGCATACTTTCTTACTGGTTTGTAGGCATCTTAGACTTCTGCAAACAGGATATCTGTGCATCTACATTGAACTGACAGTTAATAAGAGGCTTTGCGAGGCACATACATCATCATCATTGAAAACAAGGAAAGCTGAAGTCCAACCTATCCAAAGCGATCAGCAAGGAGCAGCAGAGGCCAGTCTGCATAACCTGCACAGAACTAGCATCAGCAATCCTGTACAGCTACTAAGGAGAAATCAGCACTTTTGTGGAAATAGCAGGGCCAATACCATGGACTAAAATACAGACTGTCAGGAGTGGCACAGGTTAGTTGGTAGCAGTTTCCCTTGCTTATCTTATAAACTGACATTTTGGTAGTTGCAGCACTGTCTTCTTCCATCCATGGTTTGGTTGCAGCTAGATAGTCCTTGCTGAGTACCCATATATGCTATAGGTTGTATATGTAATTGCTATCAGAAGTAGTCTTTTCTGCTTTTAACTGGGAAGAATATATTTGCTTTTTTAACCAAGGATTTATACCAGTAAATCAAAATATTTTTCTCTCACAAATTAAGCAGAATTAATCCAGCAGAACTGGATGCTTGCAGCCTTCAGATGAAGGAAAACAATGGCTATTCATCCTTGTCAGTATCTCCAACCATTACTATTGTAGTACTTTAGCACTTTGAATCTATGATTCAAGTGTCAAAACATGGTATCTGAATTAAACAACATGGGTTTTACAAGCAGAAACTGCCTGAACATTATATAAAGCCTTTTGAACAGAATGTATCATATATTCATTTTGCTTGTTGTTGGATAAAGATTTAGAGTGTATGGCTTTTCATAGGCAGGGCTTATTTCATCGCAAGAGCCTTCTGGTCCCATGCACATGAACTAGGTAAGGTTGAGATTTTTTTATTAAAAGGGAGAGGGGAGAAATCCTTCACCCCAAACTTTCCAGTCCTTTTTACATCTATTGCAGTTGTATTAACCTCAGCTAGTAATAAATGGGATACAAATAGTGAAGACAGGCCAGCTGCAATGAAGACTGTATCTGCCATATAAAGCAAAAAAACATAACCTCCCCCTACCAAAACCAGCAGTGCAAGGCAGCAGTACTCAGTTGTAAAATACACTGTCAAGCATACCTGTTTTTAAAGTTTGTTCCATGCTTAGCTTCTTTCCTGCTGTTTGACTTAAAGTCACCCCTCTCCTCCCCCTTTTCAATTCCTGAGAAAGAAAAACTTTGCATTGTGACCAGCAGCAAGGGTTTAGCTTCAGTGCCTCTTAGCTGAGCCTGTTCTCTCACTCATCCCGTTTTTGACATTGACTAATCAAACAACAGAGAGAGGATACAAGGCCAAACTTGTCTGCCTTTCAGAGAAAAAGGAGAGAGAGCTACATGGTGAAAAAAGCAAATCCCAGTATAGTAACAGCAAAATCCTCATAATGTGTTGCAGCCAGCAAGCTGTAACCCTGAAGCAGCAGAACAGGACGATGCTTGTTTAGGTCTCTGAGCTGCTCCCTTCCTTTCTTTACTGGAGCTTACATGCCATCTGCGGGAGCCACGTAATACTGCACCTCAGCCAGAGAAGGGAGTTCGGGGAACAGTGGAGAAGCGCAACTGCCCACCTTAGTTTTGCCAAGTGCAGCATGAAGCTAAATAGCAGCAAATTGAAGGAGCTGGGTTATACATAGAATTTATGGGTTAGCAGGACAGGGATGTTGTTTTCTGTTGTTTTCATTATAGATGCTTAATAGACCTTTTTGGTGTTCTTATGCTTCAGCTTTGGTTTAAAAGCATCAGCCTGATGCATTGCACACCCTGTAGTGCATGAACCACTAGCCTGCTCCAGCCTTGAATTTGCTCTGCACCTAGCAGGATCTGTCTGTGCTCTCTTAATACCTTAAGAAAGTGACGGATGCTCCCTCAGAGCTAGAATCATGCCTAAACTCCACCAGGTATATTTCTGTTCCCGTTGAAGTGTGGGTATGGATGAGGCAATACTAGAATTGCTGCTCCATGGCCTCACAAACAGCCCACCCAGTTACTTAACAGTGTTTAACCTTTGTGAAGATCTGACCTCTTCTTCTCACGTATGCAAGACAGATATATCATGCATATTTACTGATACAAGCCTAAACAAGGCCTTAAAAATCCTGAAAGGTTCTCAAAAATTTATTCCATAAATTAAAAACACACACAAAAGAAACAGTAGAATTTTAGATTCACACAATATTGAACAAAAGCAAAATGCCAAGAGCACGATGAAGGCTAATGGCACATGTGTACAAATTCTCATTGAGCTATTTAACTTGATAGCATCATACAGACTTTTAATCCACAGTTACCATCCATATTCTAGAAGAGCACCTGGAACATAACATACCAAAGGCCCACCTCAAATGAAATACTATAAATGAGACCTGCTTGCAGAAAATCATATTCAGCAAGCATCAGAACGCAAACGTATGCAGCCACAAGGGTAGCCAGGCAAATGATGCAACATCCATTAAGTAGCCTCAGCTGCTCCAGTTATAGCATGATGAAAATAAGATGATTTTTTTTTTTTGTGAAAAGTGATCTTTCTACCTCCCATAACTGGCACATTTAGCAAAGAGCTGCTTGGCTCTGCAAAACCTCCTACTAAGAGGCAGGACGTGGCAAAAGCTTTGCAATTCTCAGGCTGCTTTAGTCATCAGTCTGTGAGCAACACCTACAGTGTCTTTCCATGATAATACAAACAAAAAAAAAGAAATCCTCACTGGAGTAGGTTCCCTTTATGAAAAGGCAAATGTACATATCCTTTAGATGTATGCAGGACCCCAAAAGATGCATCCTCTATACTTGTTTCTTTCAATTGTCTGGGACAGAAGCAGCTCAGAGTGGCAAATACCTAGCTTTTGCACAGACATCACTCCCAGTGTACAAGCAGCAGCCACAAGGAACAAGACTGTTCCACAAATGCTGTAAACAGGAACAGAGGTGGGAAAGGAAGAAAGAAAAAGTGCACAAGCATGGCTGACATCTGTATGCTGGAGGGGCAGAAGAGATGCTTTGTCTAAATAAGCTTACATCATCATACAAATACTAAACCAAAGAGAATAATGCTGTGTATTTAGGTTGCCACAAACTAAGGTCTGCGACATGCTAGGCAACTGCAACGTCATTTTGTAACTCCAATTATTGTAAACAAAAGAGAATTGAATGTTTCCATTGCTCTGCTAAAAAAGCTAAGGAAATGATATTTCAAAGCAATCAGAAACAAGACAGAGCAGGGAAGCAGACCAAAAAACCCCCCCCTCAAAACAAGAAACCCCACAACCCAAAGGAAAAAATACATTCCATGATCTGAAGCACATTAGAGGTCTGAACTTTGCCTGGACCCAAATTTCATCTCACCCCACCCACACCCTTTTTCCTTTAAAGCCCCAATAAGGTTCAGCTCAATTGTGTCACAGCACTAGAAGCCTCCCACATAAATGGAAGATGAATGAATGCTGTGTAACAATCCCGTTCTGTAGCATACAACCATAAAAATATATATCTCACCCTTGCAACAGCTTTCAACCAGTCAGTAACTAGGCTAATAAACCACTATAGGGAAAGTTTCAAACACTTTTTTAAAAGGCAGTTGACCTTTTGTTTTTTAGGGATTTCTTTGTACAAAAATAGAGTATCCAAGTGTTGTACAGCAGCCCCAATAGGCTAACCAGACCCTGCTGCTGCAATCATATGCCACTATGTTCAAAGTTTGCCTGTGTTATTTTACCCTCAAAACTCAAACACAACTCCTTGAAGTGTGCACTCCTCTCTTGTCTACAGTCTTCCTGATTAAAGACAACTGGCCTTCAGAACAAGAATGTAAACTTCTAGGAATCCCAGCACATAAGCTGGGAGGAAAACAAGCCCAGGTTACACTTTGAGACTCAGCACAGAGTCTGTAATAATCCTCTTCTATTTGTCCACTTCCAAAGCTCTGGAATTTAACACATCACTTGTTAATTTTTAGTTTTCTGTTCAGTCAGTAACAGAAGTGGCAAAGCAACAGAAGATAATGATGGTATTCTCAGTCCTGCATTTACTTGGACTTCACTAAAAATACCCACCCACTAGACACTTGCTTAGTTTGAAGGTAAATAGAAACTCTGTTCTATGGGTAGGGAAATAAGAAAGTGCAAGTTTCAAGTGACAAGTGAGAGAAAGAACAGAGTAATTTGAGCATTCCAGCAATGACTGCTTTGCCTGAATAACTTCTATAGGCACTAAAGGTCAGAAATTACCTGAACTGCAGCTAGCATTCATTTTGAATTATGCTTCAAGTAAGTTAGAAGTTACCCCAGAGCTGAGCTCCCTTCCCTCAAATGGTATAGCTGAGAAATTGCCCAGTGCTGCATCAGATAATTAGAAATGGCCTTACATAATGAAACAGAAAGTTCCACATGCCAGGAGGCTCTTTGTACAATACTAGCTATGTACAAGAGTGCTGTTATACATATTTAATTATGAGCTACATGAATTAATGAATTGTAAATCTAAAATGCTAGAAAAAGGATTTATTTTCTTGTTGGCATTAAAATCAAGTTGGTATTTTTAATGAAATTAAAATCACTTAGAGATGAATCTCAGATTTTGCTGGTGTTCCCTGCATGCAGCAGCCCGGCTCAGTTAGTAAAAATCTCTACTTATGTATCCTGCAGCTTAATATCCTCGTGGGCTAATTACCTTTTTCTCTGGAGGAGAGGCTGCCATCAACCAAGTAGGTAACAACGCTACTATTAGGGAAAAAAATTAGTACTGGGCACATTTTTTTCTTACAATATTACCTTGTTTTTGAGCTCAGACATGTTAAAATATGTCCTCATACAGCAAATAAAGAAACATATACAAAGTGCAAGTTATTTAAAATCTAGTTATGTGGGGCTTCTGCTGCCTGAAGCCAGGAAGGACAGAGAAACTCAGAAGGAACCATCTAAGTAAACGGAAGGAACAAACAATTGAAAGCAAACCCAGACAGGTACTTTTAATTATCAAAAAGTTAGTGGCATATCAAGAATGTGTTTGCTAGAATTTATCTTTATCAAATACCATATCTCTTCTGTCACTGTTCAAAATAGCCATTACAGTAACAACAGCAGACGCAAATGTGCAAATGATCTGAAGTTCAGAGTTCTAGCATCACTGAAGGTGCGCTACTTCCTCCTTTACACTCCTACTCTACCCCCCATAAAGTATTTAAATGTAATTAAACATTAGCAGTAATTTCCAGGGGCTGGGAAAGGAATGGTAAATTGGATGTGGCTGTGTTACACTCAAACAGGGACCTAAAAGAATCCCTTCAATAGCATTAAAAAAAAATTAAATTAAAAAAACCCACAAAATAGCACCTTAATGAGGGCCACAGCCAAAACCAGCTCATCACATATTAGAGCAGAGAGGCAGAGTAACGTATGAAGAATTCAGTAGGTTTCTCCCAAAAAGACTAAAATACTAAAAGACTGGATCATTTTCAGCTAAATGGCTCCCTCAGAGGCCTGCTCCTGTTCAGCCTCATTCGCAAAGAAGACGTCAAGGTCCATTAGCTTCTGACTCAGAAGAGCATCTAACTCTGCACTCGGGAGTGCAGCTTTTTTTGCCCGGGTGAAACTACCCACTGCTTTGATTTTGCCTCGTCTCTTCCTTTTCCGAGGAAGAGTAAAGTCCTGAAACTCCAGAATCCGCTTCCTCTTCTGCTGGCTGACAGAGATCAAGCATCCATTTTTCTCCTTGGGCTCTTCAAAGATCGTTTCCAAGCTCCTGATAAAAGCAAAGGATAGAACCCATGAATACTCAGGGAGCAGGTAACCACCTTACCAGGACAGGAAGTCAAGCGGATTTCACAACCCAAGTAAACACACTTCTAGCTTTTACATTCTTACAGTTCCTTCACACCTCTTGTAACATGTACTTGCCTACAGTGTACACCTCCTGCAACTGCACATTACTGCTAGCTAAATAATCTGTTATTGGTGCACAGATTGGGTTGCTTTCAGTCCAAAAGCACAGTTACAGAAACAGTAGAAGATCAGATTTTTGAACTTTCCCTACCACTTTAAATTAGAGCAGTTTAAAAGATTTTTCTCCCTTTTAGCTTTCAGACACCTTTAATCTCCTTTCTCTCTGCCTAACTAATGCACATTTATCTTGGTTTTCTCATTAGAAAGCAGAACCAACCTGGCTGGAGGAGGGGACTTGTAGTTCTTGTTTGTGTAAATTTCTTCTAAGCTAAATTCTTTCTTCTTAAGCCTGAAAATGTAATGAACAAATCAGTCAAGGAAGAAGAATTCCAAAACTACCTCTCTTCACAACAAGCAGGTTTACAAGAGCCAGTATGTGTCCATTTATAAGACACTGCTTACCTTTGTGGTTTGGGTAATCCCATTGGAGTAAGGTTAGGGTCTGGCTTAGGAACAGTTTTCCTGATTGGGATTTGTGAGACTTTCTTTGGCCTCTTTTCTGGCTCAGTCTTAAGAAAGAAAAAGGGATAAAAAGGAGAAAAAGTTAAAACAAAGGAAATAATGACCATACTAGTCAATAGAATTCCCTTTTGAGTGTACATTTTCTATAGAATAATCACTCCTCTTTGCTTTGTCACCTCATTTCTGCTTGAATAAAAGGAAGAAGCATCACAGACTAGGCATAGCAGCCTGTTTTCTCTCCTCATCTTTAACAGTTATTAGACATTCAGTAGCAAGAGCTTCAAGTTCTGGGGAACCAAGAGTCCGAGACACCTAAAATCTAAAATGAACTCACTTTTTCCAGTTCTTTGTCATCCTGGGATATAAGACAGGCTGGAACAGAAGCATCACCTCCATCAAGGACATGGACCTGGAGTTCACATGCTGGAAGCCTGGGGGGCAATGGTGATGATTCCAGATGTGAGCAAGGCTTAGGTAATGGAAGAGGGAATGAAGTTTCTAGACTGTAACAGAGAAGGAAGGGAACATATTAGATTAATACCCAATTTATGCTACAACAGCATACCATGCTCTCAGGTGATATTCCTAAATTGCAATATGAGCACAAAAAGCAATACCGTTCACTGTAATTGCTCAAAGTGAGTGAACTCTTTCTGCAGTACAGTTAAAAATTTACAGCTCTACTTAGTAACTACTGATAGAAGAAAGTGATTAACCTCCTTTTCTGCCAGCAAATCTTTGACACAACTATTAATTATACTTTTTGTTTCCAGATAAATATAAAAGCTTTATCTTTGCCATCCCAAAGCTGGAAAAGAATAGAAGGAACATGCGGCACCTAACATCCCATCAGTCAGACAGAAAGAACAGAGATCCAAGTAAGGAAACAAACTTCTCTAGTATCAGATATTCATTTAATAACAAGTGGCACAACACACTTGAAAGTAACAGAATTGCTCTGTGCAATGAGCTACATGGTGTTTGCATTAATGCCCCTCCACACTTCTCCATTACATGGTCCAGTCAGTTTACTTCACTAACTTCTTAATCAAAAAGCTATTCTTGCAATAAGCTGCCGAAAGCTGAAAGCCAAACTGACATAAGCAATGTCTTTCTGAGAAAGTTTATGATCCCACTACTCAGAATAAATGCCAAAGTTCAAGAGACTCACCAAATCTCATGACTTTCAGTCTGTAGTGCTTCCATACTCTGTATAGGTAAGTGCGGTGTGATGGCATAGCTGGTTCCAAAGAAGAATGAACAAAACAAAACAAAGACAGACAGAAATTAGGTCTACACTACAAAACAGTTGAGGGGAAAATTGTTAGTATAAACTCGACTGGAAGACAAAAAATGCTAGCATCAGGAATGGGAATGAAAGACTAAAACGATGAAAGAACAAGCCACATCTCCCATTTAGTCCACTAAATTTCACTGACAGCTTGCTAGGGAAATAGTCCTACTTTCACTTAAAAATGGTAGTGATGAGAAAAGGAAACAAAAGTACAGAAAGAGGGAGACAGCATTAGTCTGGAACTTGTTTCTATGAAAGTCTATATTCCTCATTCAACCCCCCCAGGTTTTAAAATTAAAGTAACCAAAAACCTTGAAGGAGTTGGATACTAAATAAAAAAGAAGGGAAAGGAAGGGTTTCCATCAGATTAACTCCCTGTTGTCTCTAACTCCCACAGTTTTACTTGAATATACTTAGTTGATTGGAATAACCAAAGGCCTTTCCATAAGGGTTGGTAATTATCATAACTCCATGGCATAAAAGTCAGAACAGCAGCTCAAAGTCCTTCAATATTAAGCTTTATTTTTGTGCTCATACTATTAATATAATCAAAATCAGCTGGGACAGCTTTTATTACATTAAACAGCAAATCTTGTACTTGCTGTTCTCCCAAGCTAACAGCTAAATGTATGTCACAGTTCTAAGGCAAAAAAAGTTACAGCCAGACTGCAATGCTACAGATAAATGAAAACCAACCATGCTGGCAGCACAGATAAGTCCAAATATAAGGAGGTCAGAAAGATCCTTTCTTGTGTTTGCCATTTAATATCACAACTATAACATTTTGCTTTTCTCCATGTTCCAGATGCTATCCCAGCACCTGGAACCTGTACCAATAGTGCATCAGACCCTTCGTGCTGGAGGCAGAGCTTTTACCGATTTATGCAATAATAATAATAATAAAAATAAATTACTGGGGGAGGAAAAAAAAGACACTTTAGAAATTTTGAATCCAAATGAGCACTAATTAGAAAAAATATTTCACTTAAAGAATGCTTTTACTGGAGGTGGAAGTGACAGAAGATTCTTAGGCAGGAGAAATACTCCACTTCCTTGTTTTCCTGTTATTAAAACCATTAACTATGAATGAAATAATTTAAAGAGGACAAATCTGTTCCAGAAATAAATAGGCTGTGGACAGCTGGGAGCCACCTGTTAATTTTTCTGTTTTTTAAATATCTTAATTGAAAAAGGCAAAGATTTTTGGTCATACTGGGAGCTGAAAATGTTTTTCTTGTGCACCAAACATACATCCTGTATTCCTGTATTTATACACCAAACATTTATTTCATAGGAGACTTTTTTTTTTGAGTACACACAAATTTAGGATAGATTCACTGAATTATCCTGGTGGCACTGTTCCTGCTAATGGCTTTCTAAAAAGTTTTATTACTTGATGAGAAGAGGTTGTCAATCTTCAGCAAAATGGGATCTAAAGTTGTGTTAAATACTTGAAATGTTAGGTTTTGTTCATGTTGCTTTACAGCAAAACCTTTAATATGAATTTTTGCTTAACTGTTTTACAAATAGAACTTATTTGCTGCACTTATTTAAATTTCCACAAACCATCTTTTCAGCTCACTGCATGCTACAATAGCTTCACCTTAAAGCAAATCTGAATAGGCAGAATTGAGGCGCTCTAATACATACATCTGTAGGGTATTTTAGAGAAACCCCCCCCAAAGTTAAAACAGTCTAAAACTCAGTTTGTTTTTCACTTGAAGTGATGAAGTTTGATTTGACTTCTCTCCCTTTGGGATAAAGATCATTCATAGCAAAACATTCAATTTTTAAATCACCCGTTATGTCAAGGAATTATATCCTCTTGCACTTCAGCTAACTGGATATGCTATAACAAGCTGCCTGGGAGTCTGTGGACTTAAGTGTAGGAGAAAACATGACAGCATAAGTCAGCTCTGATCTCTCAGTCCAAGGATAACATGCCTCAACACCACAAAGTAAGAAATTCACCTCAAATGCAGGCCTAAGTTTTAAAAAAGTGTTTGTTTTGGTTTTGAAGAATGGCAACAATATCTTATATTTAAGTTTAGTGCTTGAACTGCAGTTCACTGGTGTGATTACTTCCAGAGTACTAATTCATTCTCTAGAAAATTAAGCATGATACACTGACTCACATGGAATCAAAAAGAATGCAGGTCCAACAGAATGTGCTGTGAAGTTGTCTCTATGCCATTATTCAGCCTCGTTCTTTTAGTGCCGACAGCTCCCAGAGTGGAGCAGTACTTTTATAAGCTCACTCACACCTTTGGTAGGCATTAGAACTTAAACTAAATGAGGTACTTAAACTTTTAGGTATGTTATCCTTTTCTACAAAGCAAAGTAGAGCAGTAGTTTATCTGGCAAGAGTTTTGGTTATACGTATGTCGAGCCACTGACATAAAATAAGTCATATTCAACAGTTCTTTAAAGACTGCCATATTAAAGAAAATACTTAATCAAATTGACTTTTCTACAGTGCTGGTGAGCCTGCACTCTGTCCAGAAAGCTCAAGACCATAAAATCAGGGACTGAGCTGCCTGTGTCACTCAGGCATAAAGGGCAAAATCTTTGCTCAAGAGCATGCAAAACTCCTGTAGCAGAGCTAGGAACCTCTTCTCCCATTTTGTTTCTTAGTAAAAGGAATACCAATGACAAAGTTACATATACTGAGTAGGTAACAGTCCTCTTCCCATTCATAATGAGAATGATGCACACACAAAATTCATTACCAACCTTAAGTGGAGCTACACTTGCTTGTGCCAGCAATACATCAGGCACATACTATCAAAAGGCACAGCATACATAAAAAGGTTTCAGCTAGCATAGAAATGTTATGGAATACAATTAAAAATCTAACTGAATTCCACCTCTCACTCCTCAGGATTCTTCCTAATCTGATATTGGGCTTTTTTCAGTGGTTCCAAGTGGCACTTGTGGCTCAGACCTCTGAAAAAAACTTTCCTACCTCAGAAATCCAGTTGTTCTGCAGTCACTCTGAATAGACCTAATGAAGTAGCTCACCTCTCTGCATTACCTATTCTGAGGCATGGTGTGTATATTTTGCAAGAGAAAAGAGTTAGCCATTCTGCCGAAATAGGAGACTGTTAAAGAAATGAAGGCAAATATATTTAAATTCAGTTAACAGACTATTCTGTATGGAAGCATCTTCCATGTTGAGACATTTTTTGAGTAGAATGTGTAGATTTGGAACAGGGGAAACTCACCCTCCACTGCAAGCTGCAAATACCCTCTCCCTCTCAAAAAGGAGCAAGTACATACCTTGTAGGTATTTAATCTCAGAAATAAATTGATGGGTTTTACCTGTTTGCGATGCCCACGCTTGGCTGCCACTTGCAATCACTGGAACGGAGAGGAGTGATTTCAGAAGGCCAGGCAGAAGAACCATGCTGACTCCATATGGAGAGTACCCTGCCCAATGAGTATGGCAATGAAGAGACGAGGTCATTTGATACAGAAGGTGGATACCTTGCCCCTTTCAAACCCTGTGCGAATTGCGATATAAATAGTCTCTGGATGGTAGGAATATGACTAGTTAAGTTTCTTCTTCTTGTCCAAATCCTGTAGCACCCAGGGGAAGAAATTGCTAACACTGTGTGAAGGCCAGCCATGGAGCAACTGCCTCTTCTTTTAGCTATGGAGTTCCTTCGCCGGTCACGACGAAGGACAACAGCCCCTTGGGTTGTTAGAGAGAGAGAGGAATGCAGTTCATTATTTACACTGGAATCTTCTTGGAAAGCTGTTGTATCTGAACAGCTCTGAGACAGGAAAAAAGAGAAAGTCCACTTCAAAGGCGGTGCTGGCATTTCTCCCAAAACTGGTCCGTGACGTACAGAGTGCTGGGATGTCATCCCTGTGAGGTCTGTCACAGGACTGGAGTCCAATTTTATGTGAAAAGAAATTGGGAAAACTGTGGTATCCAAAAAAGAGGTTGGAGGCGTGTGGCTCAAGTCTGAAAAAAGTATTTTGGTAGATTCTACAGGATAAAGTGCCAAAGGCTGAAAGCTGAACATCTTGGTGCACCGACTGTCAGCCCAGCGTGACTGTAAGTTCCTGTTAATGCAAGAAAAGGCTTCTGATAGATTCTTATACCTACGTTGGCTGTACCTCTCACCTACTGGAAGAAGTTCAGCAGAACGTGGCAGAGGTTCTACCTTATGGCTGCTCTTGGCAGGAGCCAGGAGCTGGCTGGCCATGGCAGACAGCTTGCTCAACAGTGCTGGTTCTTTGGTACATTTTCTAAGTCTCAAGCTGTTCAACAAACTGCATCTCTTGGCCCTCTGCCTTGGCATATGCACACACCTCATGGCTGCTTCTGCTCCCAGTGCCGGTGGTTTACATGGGAAGTACAAAGATTCAAGAAGTGTGTTTTCCTCTTTAGGGAATACCTCTGGGGGAATCTCAAAAAAAGGTGAGCTTCTATTCTTTTTGCCTTTTCTTACTACTTTTAGCTGATATGATGTGGGAAGTTTTTTGCATGTCCTTCCAGGCTGTTTCTTTAATGGAAGAGGTTCTCTTTGCTTAGTTGTAGTTCCAAAGGCACCAGCGATTCCATCATACCCTAAATTAAGGTTCAGGTTTTGCATTTCTGAATCCTGAGTCTTCAAAAACTGTGAACTAATAACATCTGTGGTAATCTTTGGCCTTTTGACTTCTTGTAAAGTGCTACATAGTTTATTTTCACTGCTACCCACAGCAAAAATCTCTTCTGAAGGACTTTCAAACTTTGTATTTCTTGATGTCACCAAGTCACCTGAAGAGCTGTATAGGAGTCCAGAACTGTGCAACATACTTGGTCGCAGTGTGATTTTTGCTTTCTCTTGATATTCTGACTTCTGTTCTTGTGCCTTGTCTGACAGATGTTCTTTCATCTTCTTACACTTCTTCTTTTGTTTAGGTACCTGACATTTCTCTGTTTGATCAAGTCTCTCTGAACCTGAAACCTCATTTTCCTTGCAAACGGAATGAGTTAGTGTAGTGTCCCGGCCTTCTGTAATCAAATTTACATTATCTTTGCTTTGTGCATTTAATTTGTAAGGCACACATACTTCATTGCAAACCACACAGTTTGGGGGTAATTCTTTGGAACTGTTTGATAGTGTCACAGGTGGGTAAAATGGGGGCATTGGATTACACTGCAATTCTGGTGAAGTTTCTGCATCAGATGCAGCTTCAGCTTGACAATCATGCCGAGTTTCTGACAGGAGATTGGTACCTGCTAAGTTTCTGAGCTTTGTATCACTTGTTCTTTCTTTTGAAAGACTATTTAAGTTAGATCTTGGGATTTCTTCCAAAATCTTTCCATAATTCTCAGTACTGAGAGGGACTATTTTGCTACCAGGCTTTTCTGAATCTTCTGAAAAGGCCCATGGACAATCTTCTCCATCAAGAAAAGAATCTGTGGGCAAGTTTCTTCTAGGGGCTACTTCTCTTCTCATCTTCTCTTCCACACATGTATTCTTAAACTTCTCTCCACAGTGAGTCTTTTTTGGTTGGGTCTCATCCATGCCTTTTACACTTAGCATGCTATGTCCCTCAGCTCTCAGACTTTCTTTGCTGTAGGCACAAACCCTTGAGCATTTTGCACCATTCAGAAAGCTGGTTATGGCTTCATTATCTGACAACAGAACCTTGGGTTTGTTGGCTTTTCTCTTACCAGACATTGTTACAGAAAGATGCTTTGCCACTGAAGAATCTTTGCTAAAAGCTTCAGCTGCAGATGAATCGCAGTTATCCATTTGTGTATTCCCAGATAACAGACACTGCTTTTCTTTCTCAGGCAGAGAGATTCCCAGATCCAGAAATGATGGTGTTTCTGAATCCACCCGAGTCTCATTATAAGAGTCTTGGATGTCAAACTTTCTGAAATGGGATGCAGCAACATCCTTTTGAGTGTCAGTTTCTTTACAAGGCTCAGATGTTAACTGTGGGGAAGAGTTACTTAAGATAGATTTTATTCTCAGACTCTTGTTTTCTGTCTCTGAAAGCACATTCATACTTTCTGGCTTATATGACAGACTCCCAGCAACTGATGAGAAGGGCAAAAATTGGGCACTAACTGGATTTTCCTGATCCTCCACTGATGACTTCACCTTTGGCAAAGATTGCTGCATTTTGTTCCCTGCAAGCACTGGCTCTGCTTTCTCTTCTGCACATTTGAGAAAGCAAGCACGCTGCGAACAATGTGATTTGCTATCAGAAAAGCTTTGTTCAAGACTTCCTTTATTTTCTCTTTCACATCTGTTCTTGCATTCTTTTTGTTCGATTGTCTTCTCTTCAGTTAGATCACTGACAAAGCCCACGTCTCCTGAGCAGTGTTCATTTCTCTCACCATTTAAAGAGTCCAAACCCATTGCACTCTCTTTCAGAGTTCCTTGCAAATTGTCCTCTCTTACACACTTAGGAGCTTCTGGAGGCAGGTCGTGACCTGTTTTTAACAGTATCTCTTTGCTCTGACTAGAGCCAATTGATATTTTGGTTTCTTCCACAGAGCTAGCCTTAGTTTGTAAGCTGGTGTTTGGCAGTTTACTTAAACTTTCTAAATGTTGCTTGCTGCCTGGAACTGGGCCATCAAACTCACTCTGAGACACAAGACACTGATTTTCCATTGGACGAAAGGTCTTCTCTGCTTGAATATTCCTGTTGCTGAGTAATGGAGACGTCCCACAGACTGAAGCACTGTACTTGGAGGGGTTAGATGTGAGCGATGACACTTCTTCCTCCTCACACGCTCCCAGTTCTCTCTTCTTTGGGCCTAGTGGAGAGTTGCAAAATCCAAAATTATGAACACAGGCTTCTTTGTTCAAATATCTGACTAATAGCTGTTCTCTAGTTTTATTTCTCTGATTGCCTTTAGGAACCTTTGAAGAATCCACAGTTCTTATTCTATCAAATTAATCTCTCTGGAGAGCACACACGCCGACTTGTTCTTTTGCCTCATCTCTGCCACAAACAATTTCACTGCCATCTGTTACTTTACAAAGACCAAATCGATTCAAAACCTCCATATTCTTATTTGGAACCTCATTTCTCACCAAGATAGCAATAGACTTCTCTGCAGTGTAAGCTGAGCAAAATGTGGGCTTTGCTGTGGAAACATCATTTATCCCATACAGATCTACATCTCTGTTGCCCCAGACATCTTCATAAGGAAGAGATTCACATGCCAATGGGAAGTGTGCTTTTGGAAAGATGAGTGCCTTTGAAGCTTCTCCTTCCAAATCATCATTTTCCTCAGTCTTCTTATTGACCTCAACATTAAAGGAATGACTGTTCAGGAAAACATCATCTCCACGTTTACTCCCTGATAAAACACAGGAAGTACTGGCAGCTGTACACTGGTCTTTCATACTCTGATTATTACAATCCCACGTGTCACTATGTTCGTTTTCTAAACTAGTGACCACACTCTGTGTATCTCCCACTGAAGACTTCATGCTCTTTTGGGAAATTTTGCTTGTCACATTAGGGTTCTCAGAAGTCCTGGGCCTTACTGAAGACTTGAATTTGTCTTTATGAAGCACAATTTTAGTGACTTGCTCCCCTGTTGTTCCAGAAGCACCAACTAATTCTTTTCCAGACAGATTATCCTGAGCCATGTCCCTGCTTAAAACTTCATTAGCAGTACAAGGCAGACACTCATTATGATGAGGTTCTCTTGATTTTTGTGCAACAGGAGGTAGAGTTACATTTAGTGTATAACTCAAATTAACTTCTTTGCACTGGAAAAACTGTCATTACTATTAGCTTCTGTAGCTTCAACTAAACTGCCAGCCAACTCTTCTGCTGTTGCATTACTCTCACATTCCTTTTCAAGTGGTTGTGCCTCAGGTGACCCTTTTTCTAGCTTGGTACTAAGATCCAGACAGCTGTGGCTACTGGGAGGAGAAATTTTACTGGAGGGATTATAAAAGCTTATGTCTGTCTGTTCAATTTCACAGGAAGCAGTGTTGCTCCTTTCCATCAATAGACTATTTTCTTTCATATCATCCTTGCCTAGATCACTGACAAAGAACTGCCAGTGCTCCTTGTTCAATTTACCACCATCTGACGGGGCCATTTTAAATCTTTCTTTTGAGAACTCCTCAGGAGATGAAGCAACAGAACTAAAAACTGAAGAATGACAGTGCTCAGAATTAGCACCCTCTTGACCTTCAGGACAGCTACAAACTTCAATGCTACCTCCCACAGCAGTTTTTCTCCAGCCTTCAACAGCCTCTCTAGATTCAGACCTGTATGACTTACCTACACTAGCACTTCCCTCCCTAGTATCAGATTTAGCACTAGATAATCCTTTGCTCCTTACCACTGAGATCTGCTCTGTTGGTACAGATGCGGAGGTTTGATTTTGTCCAAACCCAGTTCCATGATCATAATTAGTCTGAGTTTCCATGTTTTGGGGGGCTTCATTGCTAACTCTATGGGCTGCAGTACTATTGTTTTCTAGTGGTGTATTCCTGAAGTCCTGAAGACAGATGCTTTTCAGAACTGAACATAAAACTTTGGAATTCTTTGTGGAGAGTGTTCTACAGATGACAACCTATGAGGTTCATTATGTTTAGGTAGAGGACCAGTGCAGAAGTCATGAGCATTGTTTTCTTCACCCTGCTGATAAGTCTGGCAATTAACAAGTGATACACTGAACTCATTATCAGGATTTCCTCTGGGTAACTATTCTTCTCTAGTCTCCAAACCAGATGCAACGTTACCCCCTGTTCTCAATGGCACAGCAGTATGGGCTTTCAACCCACTGTACTCATTTGTTTCTTGTGGATGCTCTGTGGCTGATTCAATGTCCGTGACTTTCAAAGGCTCTGAAAAATCTAATGAGCTGGTTTCTGAAACCCCAGCCATGGCCAGGACTTCTAGGCATTCGCTGTTCTCAGGTGACAGACCTTTACTCACTCTGTCATTCCTGTATTCTGCTTTACTAAATACCCTAGTCCCATCAGCCTTCATACCTTGTACTTCTTCAGCGAGCTTTGGCAGAGTTCCAGCTGTCACAGAATCATAGAATAGTTAGGGTTGGAAAGGACCTTAAGATCATCCAGTTCCAACCCCCCTGCCATGGGCAGGGACACCTTGCTCTAAACCATATCACCCAAGGCTCTGTCCAACCTGGCCTTGAACACCGCCAGCGATGGAACATTCATAGCTTCCCTGGGCAACCCATTCCAGTGCCTCACCACCCTAACAGGAAAGAATTTCCTCCTTATATCCAATCTAAACTTCCCATGTTTAAGTTTTAACCCGTTACTCCTTATCCTATCACTACAGTCCCTAATGAAGTCCCTCCCCAGCATCCCTATAGGCCCCCTTCAGATACTGAAGGCTGCTATGAGGTCTCCACACAGCCTTCTCTTCTCCAGGCTGAACAGCCCCAACTTTCTCAGCCTATCTCCATACAGGAGGTGCTCCAGTCCCCTGATCATCCTCGTGGCCTCCTCTGGACTTGTTCCAACAGTTCCATGTCCTTTTTATGTTGAGGACACCAGAACTGCACACAATACTCCAAGTGAGGTCTCACGAGAGCAGAGTAGAGGGGCAGGATCACCTCCTTCGACCTGCTGGTCACGCTCCTTTTGATGCAGCCCAGGATACGGTTGCTTTCTGGGCTGCAAGCGCACACTGAAGCCAGCTCATGTTCATTTTCTCATCGACCAGCACCCCCAAGTCCTTCTCCGCAGGGCTGCTCTGAATCTCTTCTCTGCCCAGCCTGTAGCTGTGCCTGGGATTGCTCCGACCCAGGTGTAGGACCTTGCACTTGGCATGGTTAAACTTCATGAGGCTGGCATCAGCCCACCTCACAAGCGTGTCAAGGTCCCTCTGGATGGCATTCCTTCCCTCCAGCGTATCAACCGAACCACACAGCTTGGTGTCATCGGCAAACTTGCTGAGGGCGCACTCAATCCCACTGTCCATGTCAGCGACAAAGATGTTAAACAAGACCGGTCCCAACACTGATCCCTGAGGGACACCACTCGTTACTGGTCTCCAGCCGGACATTGAGCCATTGACCACAACTCTTTGTGTGCGGCCATCCAGCCAGTTCTTTATCCACCGAGTGGTCCACCTATCAAACTGATGTCTCTCCAATTTAGAGACAAGGATGTCGTGTGGGACAGTGTCAAACACTTTGCACAAGTCCAGGTAGATGACATCAACTGCTCTACCCCTGTCCATCAGTTCTGTAGTCCCATCATAGAAGGCCACCAAATTGGTCAGGCAGGATTTCCCCTTAGTGAAGCCATGCTGGCTGTCACCAAGCACCTTGTTGATTTTCATGTGCCTTAGCATGCCTTCCAGGAGAATCTGCTCCAAGATTTTGCCAGGCACAGAGGTGAGACTGACTGGTCTGTAATTCCCCGGGTCATCCATTTTCCCCTTCTTGAAAATGGGGGTTGTATTCCCCTTTTTCCAGTCATCAGGAGCTTAACCTGACTGCCATGATTTTTCAAATATGATGGCCAGTGGCTTAGCAACTTCATTTGCCAGCTCCTTCAGGATCCGTGGATGGATTTCATCAGGACCCATGGACTTGTGCACGTTCAGGTTCTTAAGATGGTCTCGAACCTGATCCTCTCCTACAGCAGACCTAAGGTCTTCATTCTCACAGTCCCTGTGTCTGCCTTCCAAGACTTGGGTGGTGTGGTCAGAGCCTTCGCCAGTGAGGACCAAGGCAAAGATGTCATTCAGAACCTCAGCCTTCTCCAAATCCAGGGCAGCCAGCTCTCCCGAGAGCTTCTGGAGAGGGCCCACATTGTCCCTAGTCTGTCTTTTATTCCCTATGTACCTATAGAATCCCTTCCTGTTAGCCTTAACATCCCAAGGTTAATTCTAACTCGACCGCAGCTTTCCTAACCTGGTCCCTAGCTTTCTGGACAACATCCCTGTATTCTTCCCAGGCCGCCTGTGCTTGCTTCCACCTTTTATAAGCCTCTTTTTTCCTTCAGACTTTCCTCAGCAGCTCCTTATCCATCCAAGGTCTCCTGGCCCTCCTGCTGCACTTCCTTCCAGTTAGGATGCAACACTCCTGAGCTTGTAGTACACGATCCTTGAATATCAACCAAGCGTTTTGGGCCCCCTGCCCTCTAGGGCTATATCCCATGGAACCTTACTAAGCAGGTTCCTGAAGAGGCCAAAGTCTGCTCTCTAAAGTCTGTCATCTGAACATGTGCTTGGTTTTCTTCTCCACAGAAAACATTAAGCAAATCAGAACCATATGCCAAATAATTTAGATCACCAACGTAATACTTATTACAGAAGGCAAATAATATGTATTTGTAACACTGAAGCTCAACAGAGATGGTACTTTATCTGCTCTGTCCTAGAATACAGCTGTGCAGAGTAGCCATTTCCATTCCTTCTTCCTTAAAGGCATTTTTGTCAGTAAGTCATCCCCAGAAAGACAATGTGTGCCTAATTCTGCCCAAGCAATTATGATTATTAAGAAACTGTTTTGTAAACTCACAAAGAAGGGGCTAATTCAAATTACAGTGACTGTAGAATATCTTCCTATTCAAAACTTCACAGGGAATATATTTGCTCAGACTTCTGCAGATCTTTTCTGTGGTTTCTATTATGAACCAAGACTTGGGGGCATTCTAAATACAAGCTTTGCTTATATGACAGCACAGAGGGAGAAAGAAAATAATTACTAGATGCAGGCAAATTGACCAAAGTATTTGAAGCTAGAAAATTATGGATCATAATGAAATTAAGATTTGTTTTGTTGTCCTCTTCCTTTGGATTCTGCACTTTAATCTACATTTTTTAAAACATCAGCAAATGAAAGAGTCTCTTTCTTTTCCACATCTTTGCTATTACTGCTCTCATATAATCCATCTTAGATGAGGGAACTGAGTGTACTATCAGCAAGTTTGCTGATGACACTAAGCTGGGAGGAGTGGCCGACACGCCAGAAGGCTGTGCTGCCATCCAGAGGGACCTGGACAGGCTGGAGAGTTGGGCAGGGAGTAACTTGATGAAATGTAAGAAGGGAAAGTGTAGAGTCCTGCATCTGGGCAGGAACAACCCCAGGTTCCAGTACAGGTTGGGGAATGACCTGTTAGAGAGCAGTGTAGGGGAGAGGGACCTGGGGGTCCTGGTGGACGACAGGATGACCATGAGCCAACACTGTGCCCTTGTGGCCAAGAAGGCCAATGGCATCCTGGGGTGTATTAGAAGGGGGGTGGTTAGTAGGTCGAGAGAGGTGTTCCTTCCCCTCTACTCTGCTCTGGTGAGACCTCATCTGGAATATTGTGTCCAGTTCTGGGCCCCTCAGTTTAAGAAGGACAGGGACCTGCTGGAGAGAGTCCAGCGCAGGGCAACTAAGATGATTAAGGGAGTGGAGCATCTCCCTTATGAGGAAAGATTGAGGGAGCTGGGTCTCTATAGTTTGGAGGAGATTGAGGGGTGACCTTATTAGTGTATATAAATATATAAAGGGGGAGTGACACGAGGATGGAGCCAGGCTCTTCTCAGTGGCAAACAATGATAGGACAAGGGGAAATGGGTACAAACTGGAACACAAGAGGTTCCACTTAAACTTGAGAATAAACTTCTTCTCAGTGAGGGTGACAGAACACTGGAACAGGCTGCCCAGGGAGGTTGTGGAGTCTCCTTCTCTGGAGACATTCAAAACCCACCTGGACCCATTCCTGTGGAACCTTATCTAGGTGTTCCTGCTCAGGCAGGGGGATTGGACTAGATGATCTTTTGAGCTCCCTTCCAATCTCTAACATACTGTGATACAAAATGAAATGCAAAACATCTGCTGTTAACACTACTTTCTGCTTTGGGGTAAATAAGTATTTGACTTAAATAACTAAAACACATCTCGTACATAAAAAGGCTTCAGGAAAAGTGCACATGCTGTCAGGAGAAGGCAGAGGATTAAGTTTTCATATTGTTCTAGCTATGCAGGGTAATAGTTTCTACTGTAAAGCAAAATAAATGACCTATCCCACAGTCACTCATCAATTCCAAATCAACAAAAAGTAACCTGGCAGAGCAGGTTGCTAAACTACACACCTGTGTTCCTCAGAGATCCCACTGCTTCAGTGCAACAGGTTCCCAAAGACTTCAACCCATGACAGTTTAAGTGGGGGTCCTCCTGCAACAAGACAGGAATATTAGTGGAGATTGATGGATTTCCTGAAATGTTCAGGGGCTGCACCTGCTCATCTGGGTCAGTTCTGAGTAAGAAAACCACTGAGAAACCTCAGGACACATCAGACCTTGCACGGAGGCAGCCTTGCATTGCACTGGTTCACACAGTTCCTTTCTGATCCTATCACTCACTATCATCTCCCTGTTAAACCCCGATGCATCCAAAGAAAATTCTTGTTTAGCAGCAATGATTTTTTGTAACACAAGCAGTTAAAATATAAGCACCTTAAAATGCAAATTGTCATGAATTTGAATCAGAAGAGTAATCCAGTCCCCAAGCCTCCCTCACGTCCCCAGACCATTACTGTACGCCTCTGTAAGGCACATGCACTTTCTCTTCCTTGGTAGAACTTGCCTTGTACCACTCCTTCCTTTGCCACAAAACCACAAATCCAGGGGCAGGTGACCTCAGTCTAATTGCAAAAAACCCTAAGCCAAACCAAGACCCCACAACCAAACTACCAGCACTATGAAATATGGGAAAACTCATCTTGGAAAACTGACTGACTGGCAACTTCATTTAACTTCATTTCCACAAACTTCTAAATAAATCAGATACCAGAATCCAGAGTTAAAACCCCAAAATATTTTAGTATTATGCAGAATACAGTAAGCAGGTCTGTACAACACAGACCTATTCACCATATCCAGGTATTCTTAATGTCCTTTCCAACCCTAACTATTCTATGATTCTATGATTTCCTGGCTAGTGTGAGTTCAGTCACCATACTTTTTTTCTCCCCTATGTTCTTCTAGGGAGTGTGAAAACTATTTACAAATGAAAGAAAGCTGAGTTTTGTGACTGTTCATTTTTCAATAGAGTATTA